ATTTCAATCAGTTCGAAACACATGATTAGCTCAAAGAAATTTATCCAAAATGACAAATTCTGCAGCAATTGTATGTTGTTGTTCATGTAAATGACCCAGCTCTCCAAACTTTAAACACTCGTGTGTTTTAAAAGCTACAAAATCTRTCTTTTTAAAATCCAACTTAACTTTGACTTCACTTGAATATAGTAGCTCGCACCAATCACCTTCATGATGAAAAAAAAAAACTTTACTCGAGCGAGGAGTAATTAAAAACCAACAAAACTAAGCCATTTTCCTCAGTTCAAACATTTAACATTTTAGAAAACTCCTATATACATGCTACAATTCGTTTGACTATTTCCCAGTTAAGAAAACTGGGAAGGAAAACTCACATTTAGGGCTTCTTCTCAGCTTGAACCGTCCATCTTTCTAATGCAGTGCGCATGCGCAGCCACACCTTACTCCGCTAAGCCAATCAGAAACTGGGTGAACACAAACGTCCCGCCTCCTGAAACAATTAGTAAACAAAGCGTTCAAAACCGCACATCAGGTCACTGGTCAAGGGTTAATTGGCGTTTCTGTCTAAATGCAGTTTTCTGAGGAAAACGTTCGTTTTGGAAACATCTCTGAGGTTATTGTTAAAGCATAGTGAACCGATACAAAGTTGAATGCGAAATCTTTACAACAAACTGTCAAAAACACCCACAAATGTCAAATAATACCATAAATCTAAGGACATTTCAAGTAAAATTGAATGTATGTTTTCACCATGCGTCTTACCAACCAACCAGAATAAAGTAGGCCTATACTAAAACACTTGACCGTCCATGTCATGTTCATCTTGCAGAATGTAGCTTAATGTGCTATAATTTTTATTTGGCTGTTCCTATTCTTTTTTATATCATTTTCAACAYTGCTACAAAATAAAACCAACAACTCTGCTGACTCTGTTACATCACCAAGTGTTTGAGAAAGGTTTGAATGATGACAAACATATATTTCAATAAACCGCAAAAATATTTACCAGGTATTTTATTTTTATATTTTTATAATCATGAACATTTGTTCAACGTACATATACCTTCCTCCAAAGTTCATGTAGGACGAATAAAATAACACACGACACGTCAACCTTTGTGCAGTCAGATTTTTTGCACGTTTCTAAATGATGGCCAGTTTTGTCCACAAGAGGGCGCCATTGCACTTTCGCAAATTTTAAAACCGTTTTCAATGAAAGTGTATTTTATTCTGGTTAATCATTAGTTTAACAATGAACTATACGATATCATATGCTTTTGTGGAGGCATTTGCTGCATGTTATAGTTCTCAATAGACTTCAAATGAYAATGATGTGTGATGACACTTTAAAATAGTATTGTTTGCCTAATCATGCACTGCCCAATTTAAAAAAAGGGTTGCCAAATGTGACAAAAATGACAAAAGCATTTTTTTCTTTTAAAATCTACCACTGGAAAAATGCAATTAAGGACCAGCTGAAAGAGTCCCAGGTGATATTTGTCCAGCCTCTCTGCCTATGTAAGGAAAGCAGCTGTGTTTTTAATGTTGCATGTTGCTCTGCACCTCCTCACAGCTCTTTCTCCCTTGCTAAATATTTAGTCTCCTTTCTCTAAATAAGGCAGCCTTATCGCAGTTCCTGTCATTTCGGCCTTTTCTCCTAAACATCCCCGAGCAGAGCAGCAGGGACAGTGGCAGCCCCTGCATTCCTTTGCCTTGTATGGACAAATGGTCCTGCCTGGGACGTCTTTGGACCGGGACAGGCCGCTCTCTCCATTGGCCGGTGGAGGCAGGGAGGGGTGGGGCCCACAGGAGGAGGAGGTGGAGGAGTCTGATTCTTTTTAAGCAAACTTTTCAGTACTGCTGGTTTCCTTTCCCACTGCTGTGGAGGATCCAGACTAAAAGGAGTTAAGAGGGACTCTCAGCCACTTCTTGTCTGAAGCACAGGTGAGACTGGAGCTGCTTTTGCACAAACTGATGACATTTTATTTGGGTGTGTGTGAAGTGGATGGAGGGCTGTGGATGTTATGTGTTGTAGTGTTAGAGAAGGAGAGGACAGAGGAGCTCCTGAAGTGTGGAGGTTTGTCCGTCTGCCTTGATCTTCTTTAACAGATGTGCTCCAGCATTTGTTCATGGATACTTCTCTGTGGATTTGGGGAATTTCCAATAGACCTGTCTGGTTCGTACACACACTCCTGATGACCTTTACTGGGCCATCTGATCTCACATTCCTCCTCACTCTGTTTGTTCTTGGAATTCCTCCCTGTCTTCACCTCCAGCAAAGAGGCTGATCTGAAGCTAGAGATGACTGCTGATACCAAACAGTGTCTGTGTGTGCCAGACAAGAAGACAGTGGGTCTTTGTCACCCCTCCCARCCCTCACTTTTACATGAAAGGGACTATAGAGGACCTGTCCTGGTCAGTAGTTGATACAAGCCATCAGCCAGGCTTATGTGGTTCTGCTGTCGACAAGTTGTTGTCTGAATCATTGCTGACTCGTTTTTATGGGAAGATTTCAAGCTGTTAAACCCACTGTGACTGAATATTTTTATTTTATTCCATGGTTTGAGCAATCTACATTGTCCAATTGATGGGGAGCCTAACAGTAATTGGCCCTAATTAACAAGGATGCCTCCTGTTAAATCATTTAGATCAAATACCTGCAGAGTATGGAGTGTTGTGAGAACATTACCAAACAGACAAGAAAAAAAAAAGATCTAATCAGACTCAGGAATTCCTCTTGACCTGTGGTTTTGTTTCCAGTTTCCTCTGTGCTGAAGTGACTGACTTAAAGGGGCCGACATCTTCCATATTTTTTCTCTAATCTGACCCATGAGGGGTTTGCTGCAGACAAATCATAAAGACTGGTCCAACAGACCGCAATGTGAGAAACCACCTGGTAACCATACAGATATTTATTTTTCCGTGTCTGCAGATCCTCATGTCTCTTATGGCCTTGAGAGGACAGTCAAGTTTGAAATGGGACCATAAACTTTAAACGGATCAGACTACATTTGCATCGTCAGTAAAAGTTTCTCTTCTAATGTGGTTCGGCTGCATGAATTTGTTTAAATGACAGTCTGAGTCGAAACTTTTAATCGGAATAAAAAAAACAAGAGATAACAGGAGAACATGACTTCACTGGCTTCTCTCAGCCTGTGTGAATCATTCAAGCATCAGGGACAGCCAATGCCAAAACTCAAAAATAAAATAAGCTTTGCTCGTTGCTTTTACTGTTTAGTCTGTCCAAACCTTTTCACTGTGGGGGATGGGTTTCAGATGCATGTTTTTGACAATCAGAAATTTGTTTCCTTTTTTATGTGCATATTTTATTCTAAAGTCWAATTTTTGAAAATAAAGCAAGTTAACTCTTGTATTTTATACAAACCCAATGTTGTACTACGCTACAAATACATGTTATTAATTTAGGTTCTCATTGATCAAATCAAACATGACTAAATTAGCACCTTTTTAAAATTTATTTAATGAAAATCTAAAAACTTGGCTCACAAAGTAAGGGAATTAGTGATTGGTAGATTATTCCTTTGTAACAATGCTTCTTGGTYTTAAATCTTCTATGGTTGGAAAGCCTGTTTGTCCCTTTTTTAAATGGTGCCACATTTGTAAGGAACATGCATCTGTGGGGTGAGCAGTAGAGCTGAGTATGTGGGTTGCACACATGAAAAATGAGCCAAATCTCTGCCTAACAGCTTATTGTTGTCCTTTATTGACTCTTTTGAGCTTCTGGTACCCCAGGTGCTGCCAATCAGTTGTCTGCAATAAGATTTGAAATAATCTACCAAACACAAATTTTCTTACCTTTGTGCTAACTTTGTATTTTATTCAAAAGCTGACATTCTTTATGGAATTAGTTCTCCAAACTTTTAAGCAAAGTTGTTAATATTTAGACGACTTAGTATTCAGGACAACCCTTGGCACCATGTTTGAATGTAAAATTATTTATTTTATTTATTTACCGTTGTTTAAACAGGCAAGTCCTGTTGAATTCTCAGATCTCTTTCAAGGAAGGCCTGGGCCTGAAGGCAACCTATTGCACATGTTATTTAGGTGTGGGGGGAACCGGAGTAGCAGGAGAAAACCACGCTAGCACGAGGACAACATGCAAACGCCACACAGAGAGACCCGAAATAACCTAGTTGGTCGCTTTTAAATAAATCAAATTAAATGCACATCTAATGATCACATTCTGTTTCGTTAATACCTACCCTGTTGATCATGTTACATTTTGCTGACAGACAAAAGAACACAAGCACCCACTGAAGCAAATGTATTATCCACCTCATGATGACAAATTTGTTTCATTCTCTAAAGGGGAAAAACAAGTTTTTTACTATTTAAGAAGATGAATGATTTAAAATCTTGGAGCATTCACATAAACTCTGTGTCCATCAGAATGTGATGTCATTCTACTGTGGGACTAATCAAGTGTTATTCACCTGCTCCTTCCTGCATCCAGCTTGTCCCTCTCACACACACACACACACACACACACACACACACACACACACACACACACACACACACACTTCTATAAGGTGAATCCTCAGACCAGGACGTGAGTGACAGGTCTAATTCTGGACGGATAGGAAGTAAGCAGCGGTGCGCTGTGGAGACATGTCGTCTTCACACTCGTCAGAGCGCCTGACATTTACTGACAGAGTGATTCTCTCTTCAGAGGAAGTGGGAAAAGATCCACCTGCAAATGAAAGCAGGAGTGTGTGTTTTTTTTGTGATTTTATAGAAATGTACGGCTGCAGTTCTGCTCCTGCTGTACGGTAGAAAATCCTGACAGGGCTGTGAAAATGGATTTCCTGCACTCATCCTCAGTGATGACAACTGCAATTTTTAGCCTTTTTACTAACTTGAGTTTTTCACTCAGCTGTGGGAGATTTTTAGCTTGTGATCATTGTTCTYTAGTATAACCTGAGTGAGCTTGAAATGAAGGTCAACGACTGGCCAGGTCAAACTCAGCTTTCCATAAGTCACAGTTAATTCATGGTTTAACAAGAGGAGCAATTAACTTTTTAACATGGGGCCAATTTGGTTCAGATGCCTTTTTTATTCCTCTCCTAATAAATGAAATAATTTAGAAAACCATATTCACTCAGGTTTACCTTGKCACCATTTGTTTGCTGATCTGAAACATTTAGATGTGACAAACAACTAGTAAATTGTAAGGGGAAATACAGCACTTTTTCACAGCAATGTAATGGAGCTGGGCAATGTAACTTAAAATGATTGTGATTAAAAATATAAAGGGCTGCAATAAATCCTGAGTACCCTACATTCACACTAAACAGGTTGGACCAGTTAATTAGACTGGATTTTATTGTTTGGATATACAATAGTATTCTTCAGTACTGTGCAGCCATATGTAGAAACGCACATCGATACTGATGATTAAACACAAATGAGTTTTCTCTAAACTCTGAAATCTTGTCGGTACAACAGGTCCAGACCCAGCTGCCATCATGTCCAGCAAACGCGCCAAGGGAAAGACCACCAAGAAGCGGCCTCAGAGGGCCACCTCCAACGTCTTCGCCATGTTCGACCAGTCTCAGATCCAAGAGTTCAAAGAGGCGTTCAACATGATCGACCAGAACAGAGACGGTTTCATCGACAAGGAGGATCTGCATGACATGCTGGCCTCTTTGGGTAAAAAGATCAAACTTTGCAAAATTCTTTTTAGGTTTGATAACTTTATAAAAATATATACTTTTAAACTGTTTACTTCCAGATGCATTTCATAGACCATGAACTTAAGCTATTCGTTTTTTGCCTTCAAAATAAAAGCACACCAATTTACAACTGATAGATCCTTATTAAACCTGCTGCTTTGAATCTTTTGGGTTATTTGACGAATCGGTAAATCTTGTTTTAACAGTAATAGACATTTTAAACAGTGGAACAAATTAGACTGCTGTATTAGGTTTTTTTCTTCTGATCCTTCTTAAATTTTACAATTTCAGAATGTGTTTTGAGTAAAATGATCCCTTTTTTTTTCTTTTGTTTGAATTCTATAACCTAAAATTTCTTCCAAATTTTGAATTGTGAACATTTGCAGGACATGACAAATTGTCAGAACAGGAAAAGTGAAGCATTTTTAGACCTCAAATGATGGAAAAATTTGATTTATAGACATTACAGTAGTGGTTTGACTGGGAAGCAATCAGAAATCAATACTTTGTGCAGTAAGCCTGATTTTTTTTTTTTTTTTTTAATTGCAGCTTTCATACACCCTGCTGAGTTTCACCAGTCTGTCATGTTGCTTGGTGCAAAGATTGAATCACCTCAGCTTTATGATCCATTTTCCTCTTGACATTCCAGAGGTTTTCACGGCGTTCAGTTCTGGTCATGACAGAGTATCGATGTACAGAGTATCTGAGATGGTCCTTCGACACCTACACCCCTTGTGCCAGTAAAGCCAAAATTCATTTCATCGCTTTTTTTTCTTTCTTTTTTAAAAATCTCTTTAGGCATGGTTATTAGACATTTTTACTGTTTTTTTGCCATCCAGATGGTCCTATTGCAAGAGGTAGCTGGTGAAAGGCAGTTTTTCCTCCATTAAACAAAATTTGCTTTGCATCATCCCCTCACCYTTAGCCTCTCTCGACTAGAATGAGGTGATGGAATTCAGCAGACACGAGAATCAAATGGCTGTCGTCCACACAGACAGCATGATTTCTTTTGTTCCAGAGCTGGACGTGTAACACTGTCCGTATTCCTCAGGTAAGAACCCCTCTGATGAGTACCTCGAAGGGATGATGAGCGAAGCACCGGGGCCCATCAACTTCACCATGTTCCTCACCATGTTTGGAGAGAGGCTCAACGGGACGGACCCCGAGGACGTCATCCGTAACGCCTTCGCCTGCTTCGACGAGGAGGGGTCTGGTGAGTTGACCTAAAGTGAAACCTACACCCCACTGCGCTGTTCTACCTCGCAGCGCAAACYGCCACGTTTCATCTCTCTGCGCCTGTTTCCCCAGGGGTGATCCACGAGGACCACCTGAGGGAGCTGCTGACCACCATGGGCGATCGATTCACAGACGAGGAGGTGGACGAGCTGTTCCGCGAGGCGCCCATCGACAAGAAGGGCAACTTCAACTACGCCGAGTTCACTCGCATTCTCAAACACGGAGCAAAAGACAAGGATGATGAGTAGAGGCACCCCCGCCTCCTCTGCCCCCCAGCAGTAGTTTGTCTTTCTGAAACAGGGCAAATGTCAATTATTTCCAATGACTGGGATAAACTCGATGTTTTAGACACCGGTGTGTGCCTGGGGGGTGGGGGTCTGTTTGGACTTTGCTTCAGTGTTTCTACAGAACCAGCCATGTTTACCCCCCTGTTCTGCCAGTTTGCTACTGCCCTTTACACAAACACTGCAGCCTCTTTGTAATGTCCTCGTACAGTTTGAAAACAAATGATTGTGATAACTGTTCACACCTGTTAATGATTATAATTGTCTGAGTTTTTATTGTTCTGTCAGCTGCTTTTTCTTGAAGGATGAATTGAAAAGTCTTTAAACTGCTCTGGCAAATAAAATGTTTGTATCGAGTTTGGGTCGTCTCTACCAGAGAACAATTAGGATGATTTCATTCGGGCACTCATAATGCCATCACTGTGTTTGGGTCCTGCAGAGCTTAAATGCAAAATTTGTTACCCTGTTCAGTTGGATCATTTTGCAGCAATTYCCAAAWAAACAGACATRCAAGTTTTTGGTCAAATTTCACTGACAAGGGTAGAACCTTTTTATTTATTCATTTTTTTTTTGTCCTGCAAGACTCTTAATGCTGCATACAACAAACACACCTAGAGGTATTGCAAACAAAGTTGGTAGTAAATGAGCTGAAATGTGCAACATTTCATCCATTTTCTTGTGCTTAACCAACATTGGGTCATAGATGCAACAGATCCAAGAAGGGACACCCACACATCCTGTTCTATAGGGCCACGCTGGCATTTGTGAAAGATTTATTATATGGAACTAACACCATGTTGCCTTTTGAACATAAAGTATGTAAATAATACACTTTTGTTAGATTTTGACAGTTTAGAAAAAGCTTAATTCTGACTGGGGTGATGAGCCAGTGGCTAGTCAGAATGTGACTCAGACCAAAATGCTTTAACTTCAAGTTCTTCCTGTTTAACAGTGGTTGGAACCAGCCTAAAGGTGCATTACACCTAATTATCAGTTTCATAGAGATCAGCCTGAATGCTGCTTTACAGTTTTGATTACGTGTTTATTTTCTAGGAATTCTAATAATTTGTAAGTGCAATTAACAGTAATAGCTGTATGACTTTCTGTGCATCCTGGGAATAGTGTTTGCCGTATTAACCATGTGACCAAAAACAGAGGTGTAAAGATTTATTTAAAAAAAAAAATCAAACCCTATGAAACTTTTAGAACTGGAGTTTAAGTCAGAAACCCACTGTGGGACGGGCCGAGCCTGGCCCAGGTATTCAGAGGTGCTGCCAGAAAAATTCAAAGGGGTGGGCAGATAGGGAGGCACTGCTGAGCTTGGGATGGTGCATTAAAAACCAAGTCAAAACAATTAAAAATGTTAAGTTATTAGAAAAATACTGCAATAGGAGTTAGGTTTGTTTTATTTGACAAATTACTAAGATCAAAAAAGACACTTTTTAACAGACCTGTTGAAGTGATCCACCCCAAGACCCATTAGTTTGTTTAAAAGGTCCTAATTGAATTTAAATAACCATATTGTTTGTAGCTCTCAGTGCAAAGTTGCTGACAGAATTAATTTTAACAACCACTGATCAGAAAAGTGATCCATGTGTTATGAAGACAAAAGATGTTGAAAAAAAAGAACTTTTATTTCTTTGAAATGTTCATACAAAAACACATTTAAAGTTTAAGGCATATATTGCACAAACAATTGAGTTTTTAATATATATATATTTAAAAAAGAGAAAAAAGAAAAACAAGCGGGTAAATCATCCCTCAGTTGAAGGTTTAAGGCACAGCAGCCAACCATACTGCTACAATCAYTCATGATTTAGAACACAAAACATGAAAAAAATGAACTTTCTAAACTTGTTTGGCTGAATAGGAACTACAGTTTGAGACCAGGCTTTTACTAGTACAAAACAAACAAAAAAATTAAAAAAACTAAAAAAAATACAGTCTCTCTCCAGCGCCAACATATTTACATCAGCACATCTTTCTCTCTCGAGTCAGTTTAAAATGAAACAAACGTCACTGTATAAAAACCATTAGCTGGCTTTTTCCAGTATCACAACCACAGAGGCATCATCACAGTGTATCTATGTAGTACGGACTCAAACCTCACTACAACACACCACCCATGCTTAATGTCACCTGTGTAATATGATGTATTAATGCCCGCTATTCTACCTGGGATTTGCAAAAKAAAAAAAAAAAAAAAAAAACACTAAATTGATCTCTTTATACTGGCTCACACATACAAAGATGTAGTGTTGAAGAGTTTCCTGGACTTGTTGAAATGTCTGTATTATAATAAAACCTCCAACAACTTAAACATGTAAAACATAACGGTTTGAACTAAACAAGTCTGCTACTCTGGTGAACCTGACACTACAAACAGTTTGTCTAACAAACCTACTACAGTTTTAATCAAAAGAAAGCTTCCCGGCTTCCCTCTACACACTGTTACGGTCAACAATATATATATTGTGGTTCATCCTAACAGTTTCACAGAAACTACAGCTTTATGGATGATCAGAAACTCTACTGAAACTATCAGAGAAATGTGTGGAAACAAACAATCGTATCTCCTAAATGTGCTACATTTGTTTTGTCAAGAACCGGCACACACGAATTAACCTTTTTCACAAAAGGGACATTCAATTATATATAGATATATAAAAAGAAAAACACTTTAAAGGCCCCAAAATGTCAGGGAAATATCGACATAAAAAAGGGGATCAGTCAAAGAAAGTGTTCTGCTAAATGTTTCCACTCACTTCTGGGACTCTCTCTGTGGCAGAACACAACTTACACACTGTTTGTAGCAGCCGCGCGACACAAAGGGATTTGTTTTGGACATATTAAGAGGAAATACTTCAAGTTTCTTTGTGGAAAAGAATTGGCAACCAGAGCTGGTGGCTGAGGGCACGTACGGAGCAACTGAGACGACAATTCATGACGACAAATAGAACTGCTCAGCTATAAAAAGACAGGACGATGGGGGAGATGAGGGGAGAGTGAAGTGAGTCATTCAGACGAGCTCACTCAGTTTCCCTTCTGACAAGTTTTACTAAGATAAGAACGAAAAAATAAAAGGAAACATGAAAACAAGGACAGAGACGTATTTAAAACAGTAAAAATCTCAACCACACAACCAGGGAGACCAAGCGAACCGTTGTTTTGTTCTGGTTCTAATAAAAATATAAAATGTCTTTGTATGCAGAGGAGGAATGGATGACGAGCAACTAGCCAGCGTGGTTTTTGTGCAGCGGGTGTTTTTGTACAATCCATAAAGTCCAGCACTGCTACGGAACTCTGCTGAGCTAACGACTARGCACATTTAAACTTTGTACAAGAAATACTTGCCCTCTTGTTCATTAAAAGCTCATTCTTTTCAAAGTGGGGCTTAATGGGAAGTTGCGAACAATTAACATCTTACCTGTTGTAGACGGCGCTTTGAACAAACTCAGTTTGGAGAAGGTTTAATTAGTGGAGACTAATGATCCTAATAAACAAACAAAAACAGTTCTGGCCAGATTCATGTTGGTCACATTTAGTTTAAGTGAAGATAAATGTGGATTCTTTACTTTTAAGCATCTTTAATCACAGAAATTTATGGCAGATTGCGAAGATTATTGTTTCAAGATGGCAGTAATCTACTTTAGTCTTTGCCCCACTGCTCATTAGCTCATAGATTTGATCAGAACGATGCTCCGTTTCTCCAAACTGAGGTTGATCAAGAATCCATTTACAACATAACTAAAGCTTTTTACAAAACCTCCAGACTACCCTTTTAATGCAACCCATTTAAACTCTGGAATGACATCAAACTGTCATGAAATAAACAACTTTCACCACTGTCAGTGTATCAAACGTTAAAGGTTTTGTTTCTAAATCCTATAATTAGTGTACTTTCTGATGTGCAGACTCAGGCTACAGGTGCATTCTCCCGTACAGAGCGTGGTCCAGTTTACCAGGGTCTCTGTCCACAGTCCACCCTGGACTTTTAAAACCCCAGCTGCGCAGACTAGTTCACAGGTTCACTCAACGTGTGCCTGCTGTGCTGCGGCCCCCACACAGTGGTAATCGGAGTCTTCATCACTTGCAGGGCACTGGCCGGCCTGGTGTTAGTGTGAACCACGCTCCAGACGCTGGGCACCACGGCTGAATTCCTCTGAGAGGCGGCGCCGCCGCCGCCTGTGGAGGAGGGCTGCAGAGAAGGAGGGAGCTGGGAGCCAAGGCCCAGATGAGGTGCGATCGCCGACGAGGCCGGAGTCGGGGCGGCGGGGGCGCGCCCCGGGGTAGGAGCTGGAACTGCAGGCGATACGGAAGACGAAGCGGGAAATATGAACGGCGCCGTCGCTGGGATGGAGAGCGCTTTGTGGAGCGGCAGGTGAAGTGGGACTCCTGCAGAGGCCAGATGTGAGGCTGCAGCTGGAGGAAGGGCAGCAGCTGCTGAGGATGAACCCTGGCTCGCATCAGAGACCGAGCGGGGACCTGTGGCTCGCGGAAACACCAGCGACTCTGAAACCGGGCTCGCTGTCGGCGCCGATGCGCTCGCAGGACGTGTTGTGGGAGGTGAGACGGGGGTCGAGGCTGAATGTAAGTGTGGGGTTGGGCTGGTGGCTGGAACTACAGCTGGTCTCTGAGAATCTGGTTGCCCCAGGGCGAAGGCTGACAGTGGCACTATGGTTGGGAGATGAGCTGGGACGAGCGCAGGCTGGTTTGGGTTGGGTGATCTAACAGAGTCCATCACTGAGGGGGTCCATATGACTTTACTCACTGGAAGAGGAGGTATCCTTGAGCCTGAGAGAGGTGCAGCGGCAGCTTTRACCGGTGTTCCAGCCGAGTCTGGAACGGCCATGGCCTTCTCCATCAGACGCTGCACTCTGGAAGGATCCATGATTTGTTCGTCCGGTGGCGGGGTGGTGCCTGCGTCGCTGCTGTAAGCGCCGCACGTTGCGTGGGCCGCCTCGGTTTTTAAAGTGTCCGTGGGTTTGCTCTGGCCCTCCTGCTCTGCCGCCCGCTGCAGGGCAGCGTCCACCAAGAGCCTCAGGTCACTGAAGTCCTGCGCGGGGTACAGATCGGGGGGAGTCGGGGGAGGGGTATTGAAGAGGCCGCCGGTGGAGGGAGCTGCCGATGTCGTGCCGCTGAGAGAAGCCGCATGAGCCCCCTGTTCGTCCACCTCCCTCAGAAGGCTCCGAGTGTCCAGCTTCATCAGCGCCTGGACTGAGCCCTGCTTACCAGGGTAGCCCGCTCCCGTCAGAATAGCTGTCGCGGTGTTCCCCAAAAGACTCAGGTCCAAAGTAGGGGCGGAGCGAATCACCGATGGACGCTGCTGCGCCGAGAAAGTCGAGGTATTTATTTCCGGAGAGCTGGCTCCGCCTCCATTAGACGAATGGCCCTCAGTTTTACCAGTGACCTTACGGGAGATGGTGAACTTGGTGGGGTCTTTGCCGTCTTTGCGTAGCAGGTCAGGGAGAAGGCGGCGACGTGCGTTGATGAACCAGTTGCATATCTGCGAAAGCAAAGACAATTTGTGATATAAATTATAAACTCGGATTCTTCATTATATAAACTAACATTATGTAAAACAGGCACGGGCAGTCCTGGTCCTGGAGGGCCGCAGTACTGCATGTTTGACTTGTTTCTCTGCTCCAACACACCTGGGCTTCTGCGGTACGGAGGACCAAAACTGACATAATTAGAAATAAAAGCAGAATTATATGAACCACTAAATAAATATATTTAAAATGCACCAATTAAATTTAAAAAAGGGAGAACTTTATCTCCTGTTTTATATTTTAATTGACTTCCATACATATTTTTCCAGCTTAGTTCCAGTAATTTAGTCTATATATTTGAACACATAATTTAAAATTTACTGTTTTTCAAAATATATACTAACTGTTTTTCCTTTTAGTTGTACATGCATTTGTGTGTCTTAAATTAGTTGTAACATTAGACTTTATTCAATAAACATATTTTAACTGTAAAATAAAGACTGTAAAAATACTGTAGGCTGTTTAGTTTTGTAAATTTTTCAAAATATATTTTAACACAGACGGAGCCATTTTATTTACATGCAAAGCATTCTGGGTAAATGATGACGTGGATAGGTCCTCGGTGTGAGCGAGCTATATCCACCCTGAAGATTAATCTTGAACAATATCTGATGATCGACTCTTTTAAATGAAACCAGAGAGCGTTGACAGAGAGGAGAAGGTAGAAATGACTCAGTCTGTAACTGAAAATATGGATGGAGGACAACAGAGCTGCTTCATGGAAGAACCTCAGCTTAGCCTGTTAGCTTTAMCATTGGCATTGACGCTATTACCATATATGTAATTAGCTCAGTGCTACACATTCTCCTCTCGTCACTGAGGTCCTCCATCCACATGACAGAGAGGGGAACGCAAAAATGACTCAGCCTGCAACTGAAAATYTGGATGGAGGACCTCAGTTTAYKTTHTTTGTCGCACTAGCACCGAGCTAATACATATAAGGCAATATAGCGTCGATGATAACGCTAAAGCTAACAGGCTAAGCTGAGGTTCTTCTTCCATGAAGCAGCTCTGTTMTCCTCCATCCATATTTTCAGTTBCAGGCTGAGTCATTTCTACCTTCTCCTCTCTGTCAACGCTCTCTGGTTTCATTTAAAAGAGTCGATCATCAGATATTGTCCAAGATTAAACTTCAGGGTGGATATAGCTCGCTCATACCGAGGACCTATCCACGTCATCATTTACCCAGAATGCTTTGCATGTAAATAAAATGGCCCCGTCCGTGTAATATATTTTTAAACTTTTAGTTTAAAAATTATAAAAACTAATCATCCTACAGTATTTTTACAGTCTTAATTTTACAGTTAAAATATATGTTTATTAAATACAGTCTAATGTTACAACTAATTGGGGATCCCTTTAAATGTTTATACTTAATTARGTTTATTTTATATTTATAATATTATATTATATTATATTTTTCCAACAAGTCTTTATTTCTATATGCTACATGCTTGTGCTMCCTTAGTTTAGCTTAAAGTTTAGTTTAAAACAAAGGCATGGAGGAAAACATTACCTGTGCATTTATTTTTTAACTAAACTTTAAGCTAAACTGCAGCAGCACAAGCATGCAACACGTAGAAATAAAAAGACGGACAAAATTATAAAAATAATTCAACTTAAGCATTCAAGAGACAAATGCTTGTTCAAGTAAAAAGGAAAAACTATGTGAAAATACATATTAAAAACATTAAAATTTAAATTATGTGTTAAAAATATATAATTTATTGGATCTAAGCTGGAAAAATAAATATGAATGTAAATTAAATGATAAAACATGAGGTAAAGTTTTCCTTTCTAATTTATTTGATGCATTTTAAATGTATTRATTCATTTAAAGGTTCATTGTTCTWTTTCTGCTTTTATTTCTAATTACGTCAGTGTCGGGCCTCCATACTGCAGAACATGAAGTGGTAGTTCAGTGACTGAATCAGGTGTGTCGGAGCAGGGAAAATGTAAAAAATGTAGGGCTGCGGCCCTCGAGGACCAGGATTGCCCAGCCCTGGTCAAAAATAATGCAATAACTGACTTTAATGTCAATCTTATTTTCATCTTTGTTCGACTCACTCCCTCTACTGGCACATTAAAGAAGAACGGAGGACGACGGAGCATTCAGACAGCTGGCAATAATGAGGGTCTGAGCTCAGAAATGCTGAGCCATGAAGAAAGCCAAGGAAATGCATTCCTCTGGATTGACTACATAACTAGAAAGCCTGCTGCCTCCAACTGCTCTGTAATCTGTCTGCGTGCCGAGAGGGAAAGAGGAAATGTCTACTACTGATGCAACAAAGTGACAAAACAGGACCAGGATGGTGTTATTCTCAGCAGCACAAAGCAGTGACGGCGTCCAATCGCTGCTTTYCTTTTAGACGTTAACGACTCTAATGTGACAGAGTTCCAATGAGGAAAACTATAAGTTTTGCAAGCCTGTAACCAAYTGAATGAAGCAAAACAATAAAACCATCAGAAGGTAAAAAGGCAGGTAGAATTTCCTCTGCTGGGGTCTGRCAACAGAGGCCGTCGCTCACCTGTAGCACAGAGAGCTTGGTCTGGCCCGACAGGCTGAGTTTCTCCTGCTCGGACGGGTAGGCGTTGAAGCGGTGCTCGTAAAGCCAGCCTCGGAGGATCTGCACCGCCTCTTTGGGAAGGTTGCCACGGCGACGCCGCTTCCCCAGGAGCCCCCTTCCCGACAGGTCGAGCGGGGAGCCATCGTCGCTGTCCGACACGGCCGAGTCGTGCTCGGGGCGATGGTCGTCCTCCTGAGCTGAAAGAGGACAAAATATAAATCAATTAAACAAATTACACTTCAAAATATCACAAAAACAATAAGTGCTTCTAATCAGCAGATAAAATCATCATTAGGTTCAGTGAAATGTTTAAAGGCACTAAATGAAACCTTGATGGTGTTTTTAAAATAAAGGATGCCATGTGTGCAAAAAAATGAGGGGGGAATTTGTGAAACAAAGATCAAACAAGTAGGATACTTTTTTACATAAAAGGTACTGCAGAATATAAATGTGGCGCCGTGTGTACAAACAACAGCCTTTTAGTTAGAACTTGTGTTTTTCTGTAACCCACCGAGGGTCACTGGAGGAAATCTCCCCACAAAATGGAGCATGCCTGATCCCAGGGGTGGGCCACAGAATGCAGTAAATGTCTTTCTGTGGGGCTGGGTGAAACCTGACCCCCGGGGGCAGCGCCTGTCCTCACAAAGGAGATTGTGTGCATATCAACATCCTAGCAGTCAGTGGCCCAGGAGTCTATTGACCACAGAAAGGGGGTCCTTTTTTTTTTTTMTTGGAACCAAATATACTGGGGGAGGTGAATCTGATCAGTCCTCTGCAAACCTGGACAGCAATCAATAAACTGGAAATAATCTATATTAAAATGCATGTTAAGAAAACATTGTCCATCCCTTAGCTTTAATAATAGTGCACTTTTATTTTAAAAAAATAAGAAAAAATAAAGAAATGTCGTTYTTTTTTCACTACTAAAAACTAATTATGATGCACATTTGATGATGGAGAGATTAGTTCATTAAATTTAATTAACCAGACTCGTGTATTTTTTTTTCCAAATGTTATAATAAAAATCAGCATAACGATAGTGCACAACAAAGATATCTTGCAGTGTAAATAAAGCAGCATATTGAAGCTGCACTGAGTTCATTGTGTCTGCAGATCTGTGAAGAAACGTGCTGTACGTGCATCTCTCCCAACTCCACACAGTCTGGCTGCTCTGCTTTCATTCATGTTTATAATAAAACCTTACAAAAAAATATCTATACAAAGTGAACGTGGTTCAGTTAAAAAAACAATTCGGAGGCAGAAGTCCCAGCCATCAGCAGCAGGATTGTAAATCACACAGGCTGTCAAACAGGCCCAACTTTTTGTTTACAAAATGCTCCCCCTCTTTGTTTAGACAAGTAAATAAATGTGTGCAGCGGGAAAAGCTTTGAAACTCCACTTTGAACAACTAAAAGCTCCAATTATCCCTCAAAACAATCTGCTAAACTTCCTCTTTTTTAAGTTCTCACAGATTAAAATCAAATGTTGGGCATTTGAATGTGGTTAGCTAACACCAGAAAAAGTTGCAAATAAATAAATATATAAATACAGTTTCCTTTGTCTGAGTGAAATGTTACAGGTTGCAGTAAAAAAAAAAAGGGCACATTGAGACGGACAAACCTCGATAAATGAGCCATCTGGAGCGCACAAAGGAGGCAGACAGAAAGACACAGCCTCCCCGCATGTCGCTCCGCCAGATGGACAGCACGCCTGCCTCAGGAGATAACTAGCTGGCTAGCTGTGCCTCCCTCCTCCTCCTCCTCAAATTTAAACACAAACACGCGCTTGACACAAAAACCCTCACACAACCTAGAGTCAACAGGGCTTCGCGAGCAACACGCTTTCGAGGGTCCTAAAATGTGCCCAGCAGAGATAAAAAATAAAATAAAATAAATAAAACAAAACACGACCACACATTCAGGCGCTCACCTCGTTTCAAAGCTTTCATTCTTTGTTGATGGGGCTCGCGCTTGAAAACGCGCAGCTGTCCAAGTTGCACTACAAAGAAGGAGCCAGTCGATGGGCTGACTTAGCGACACTTTCTGCCAAGACTCTGAAGGTGTAGCGATATTCTCACCGGCCTTAAAACCCTCGACGTTTACGTTTCGCGGCAGGGAAAAAGCTTCCACGTTTCCATTGCAGTCCTCGCTTGCTGCCAGGATGAATGTTTCTGTATTTTTTTCCTGTCGTTTGCTCCGTTTTTTTTTTTTTTTTTACCTGCAAGCAGCAGCAGCGCCAGCAGCTTTGCCAATCTTGACAGTCGCAGTGAAATAGTCCCGCCTTCTTGGCTTCTCRCGGCCAATCAGATCTCAGGATGACGCCTCCTGGAAAGTCCCTAGCCAATAGCGGCGCCCGCTCCAGACAGCGGTCAGACTCCGGGTTGTTGTGATGGACAGCAGAAACATTTCATTCAAAATATAACGCAGACAGTCATTGAAACTGTTTTTTTTTTCTTGCTGCTATGACTAAAACCAAAGAGTTGAAGCAGTGTCGATTCAATATAAAGTAGGAAATMTCCAATATAGTTCGTGACTACTTCTGGAAATGGTTCATGTGATTTTACATAATGTGCTAAATGTTCTGGTTACATAAACCATAATCTGACAAAYGTGGCTAAAACTGACGTTTATCTGAAGTTTTTCCGTAAATCATTACATTAAGACTTTTACACTCTGTCCTCTTCTATTTTGCTTATTTGAATAAATTGGAAGATGATTATAAGCTCCAAAAGAGCAGCTTTTGAAATCAAAACAAAGATGAAGTATTCATTTTTGTGATAAWTGCAATGAAAGCTACCTCATCATTCTAAAAAACAGCAACTATACAATAATAAAAAAAGTACAATCAAACTTTTTGAGAAAGTATTTTGTGCATTTTATTGAGCCTTGCGCCTCTGCATTATGCATGTGAACAATCTTGATAGTATAAATAGGTCTACAGCGTTGTAAAAGATGACAGTTTTACTGTTTTTATTCCTATTTACAGACAATAAGAAGCACAATGGGAGAAATGAAAGATAGTGTCATATCAATATCAAAGAAACTRTCTTTTTACTCTGTATTGCACATCCTTTAAATATTACCAGTGTATAGTGAACAGGAATCCAGTTGTTTCATTCACTCATGCACAACTTTTTGTCACTTGCACTCAAATCCACCAAAAAAAAAAAAAAAAAAATCCTATATAGTGGTGTAATGAACAGAATCTAATCATTAAAAGATGTGCTTACTTTCAGAAAATATTTGAGACACATTGCTACATCTGATCTCTGCTGGCACGAGCTCAGCCTCGGCCCCTTCACCCAGTCCCACCTTTCACTGTCTGAAGAGCAAAGCAACGTCAGAAATCACTTAATTTATCTGTTCTTTGCAAGCAGGTGTTCAGAAGGATGTGTAGACCTTGTTCTTTTTTATAGCTCTGTAGGGACAAAACTTTTTTAAAAATGGTCAACTAATACCTTTAAAAAGGGGTAATTGCACTAATATCCAAGAACAGAAAGAAAAAGATTTWGATCAAATCCACTTTATAAGTTTATTTTCCTCTAGTTTAGGATCTCTAAAGCTGCTTGTTGCTTCGCTTACTTTAGTAGAGCAGAAGGCAGACATTTTTAAAGATTCAAACTAAAAGAAAGAAAAAAAAAACTTTTCAATATTATAAACTCAACCAACCAAAGCAGATTGCTGCTCTGTTTGAGCTGCAGGCCAGGCCRCCCACTCTGCCCAGGAAACTGCTGTGTGTCTCAGCACTAGCTGTGTGTGTATACTGGAGAAAAGCATTGTTTATATGCATGAGATAAGCTTTGTTTTGTCTCTCTGCGAGCACGTCGCTGACATGTCTTGGCATTTCACACATCCAAAKGACAGAAAAAGCAGAAAAGTGTTGACTTTTAGCTTCAAACGGTTAGCTCGGATAGCAGCTTTCTGTCCCGTGTATTAWTAATAATAATAAAAAAACAATACCACAATGTGTTTTATTTGCATTCAGTACATACAGTTTCGTAGTGAGACTGGCTGTAAAACAAACAAATGGAGAACAGAAAAGGACTTGTGAGATCAAGCAGCAGAATTAAAACCTTAAAAGGTCGCAGTACAGAGTTATAGAAATTCAACCTGTTTATAGAAATCACCCACTAAAAGCTTCCTTGGTTAACATTGTAAAAAAAAAAAAAAAAACAGGACAAGTTTATGTTAAAAAGACAGCTTGTCAGACAACTTATTTTCCCCACTGACAGTCAGAATTCAAATTGAGCCAATGGCCATGTTTATGTTAACAAAAGGCTTTCAGGTGCTAATGATGCTAACCGCTGCAGTCAAATGGAAAGAGGGGGATTGGTGGCCATCAGGGATAAGCTTTTCACACCTCCGAGCCATTTTCTTTCCTACACCCACAGCAGGCAAACACAACTGACAAACAAAAGCCTGCAATCAAGAGAAAGCTAATGGCTAGGCAAGTTGAGATTAGGGGAGAATGGTCATGCTTTTTGACTTCATAACTACAGGTTTAATAGTGAGAGAGAGAAAGGAGCAGCAGTGTAACCAGCCAGGACAGTAAAGTTTACATTTGCTCACCACTTGGAAGAAAACCATATGTGAGTGGAAGACAAGTGTGAGAAATACAGACACTGTTCAAATGAGATTATTAATTGTGTTACTGTTTTTGTATATTTGACTGTTCAAAGACACCCCACACTTTTTTTGGGGTGTATGCTTTAACACGTATGTTGCAGCTTGAAGACATCAGTCGACGAATGGAGTAGTTTTTGTCCGAAACATTTATTTTCTTTTAGCTCAACACAGAATATAAACTGGCTCCACACACTCACGGGGTCCGAGTAAAAGTAACGTTCAAGAGACGCAGGTTTCAGAACTTTTCCACATGGTGCGTTCAGTGCCATCCAGTAAATACCAGTACTCTCAGAAATGAGCAATCTAGCTAAAACATACACCCCCAAAAAAAGTGTGGGGTGTCTTTGAACAAATACACAAAAACAGTAACACAATTAATAATCTCATTTGAACAAAGTCTGTATTTCTCACATTCTCCCTCACTTAAGAAATGTCATCCTGACATTAAAATATACCCAACAATAAATTACATGGACATCACTGTTTAACCGGTTACATTACAACCTTCTCGGTTAGGGTTAGTCACTGATATTGAGCAGGTTGTGAAAACAGACCAGCCAAAGGAGGAGACCACAGACTTTGACTTATAGTACACTTGGARAACCGAGTTTCATAGAGYGAACAGTGTTCACTAAATGTGTTACTATTCAGGGCTATTGGCGGCCTTGGTAAAAAAAACAAAAAAAACCTGTATTGTTTACACTTTGTATTCTCACTTTGGATTGTACCAAATGTGCCTAATAGAGGTAAATATGGTGACACATAAGAACTGAAGGCCGAATCTGTGTGTCTGAGAAACAGGAAAATGTTTTGTCAGAAAAACAAGTGCTCAAACAGGGGAGGGCAATTAGTTTGGTCAAGTTTATTCATTAAACATTGGACTTTAAAAGGCTAAACTGATTACATCAGGAGTCTACACAGCTATAGTGCACGGTAGTCTGGGTAACTTAAGAGAAGGTTGTAATGTAACAGGTTAAACAGTGATGTCCATGTAATTTATTGTTGGGTATATTTTAATGTCGGGACGACATTTCTTAAGTGAGGGAGAATGTGGGAAATACAGACATTGTTCAAATGAGATTATTAATTGTGTTACTGTTTTTGTGTATTTGACTGTTCAAAGACACCCCACACTTTATTTGGGTGTATGTTTTAGCTAGATAGTTAATTTCTGAAAGTACTGGTATTTACTGGGTGGTTTTGAACGCACCATGTGGAAAAGTTCTGAAACCTGCATCTCTTGAACATTACTTTTACTCGGACCCCGACCGCAGCAGAAGCACCGTGAGTGTGTGGAGCCAGTTCACATTCTGTGTTGAGCTAAAAGAAAATAAATGTTTTGGATAAAAACTACTCCATTCYTCGACTGATGTCTTCAAGCTGCAACACAAGCCAGCTTCAGTGTGAGGATCTACTATGCAGAAAAACACAAATCCTCCTGCACTGGACTGAAAGTGTTTTTTTTTTTATTCAGACCAATGCTGCAGATGAGACAGGAGACTTTGTAATCACAAACAGGTCAGGATCAAGACATGTAAGCACTGTCTCGAGTCGATGTCACGTATGAATCTTTCCATAAAGTCAGTTRCTGGAGCGGGGCAGGGGGAGGGTTCAGATCCTGAATGTTTCAAAGCAGCCGTAAAAGGATGGGCGGTTCGGTTTAAGCTTCCGGCCGTGTGAGAATCCAAAAAATAAAAAAAGTTAAATCTGTATCTCATACGTCACTGCYTCTAGAGTCACACTTCTTCTGTCCTCATGGATTTCAACACAGTTTGATTAAATAAAACAGAGAAATCATCTTTGGCTTCTACAGTCTTTAATGGAGGAAAAAGCATAATTGAATAAAATCTGTGATGCTTTAGTGACAGTGATGTTTGTTGGGTAATGAGAAGCAAAATTTAAAAAATATTGGTGGGTATTTAACCTGCTGCATGACCTCCGTTTATAGGATTTCTTTGATGCTGCWCAATAACTTTTAAAAAACTTTTTAAAAGTATATTTGGAACAACTATCTCTTAATTATGAACTATGAATGTTATTTCATGGGAATAAAAACAAATTAAAAGAGACTCAAAGGAGTTTAAGATATTGCCCTTACAAAGATCTACACATTCTGAAAGCTGAGACCCTCACTCTTGGATAACATACGCTTTCATTCAAAACCAGTAAGAAACAAAGTTTCTCACCAACTTTAAAAATCTTTGACACAAAACATTTTGCAGGACAAAAACGAGAATTACTTGCAGGGAACTAAAACAAAACCAAAAAAAAAAAAATGCTTTAAGCCTGGCTTTCATCTTACCAACAATAATCAGATTACCCTGATTTGAATGGAGATTTTTTTTTTTATAAATCAAACAGGTATTAAATAAAAATAATAAGGAAGACATACAAGGGTGAATTTGTGGTGTGTGCAATTTGCATGATGGCCACAAGGTGGTGCTGTGCAAGCTACAAGATGGCCAGTGATCTGGGAAGAGAGTGGGCGACAGAAGAGTTGATGTTTTTCCTTCTGTCCACTTAATAAAACTTATAGTCAAGATACGTTTTCAAACAGTCTTCACAAAATATTTTTAGCCTATAAGTGACATAATAATACCTTCAGAAACCTTTTTTTAATATTATCAAGAATAAGTAGTGACAAAGTTCATCGACTGAGGTTTTCACTGGCGGCCTCTAGTGAGGAATCTCCTGCTTCATAGATTGTTGGGTCCACAAAAAAATAAAAATCAACATTTTAGGTTTTAATCAGGACCAGCCTATATTTGTATGCAGTGCGTTAAAACACAAACAAACGTCCACACAGCATCTGTCCTTCATGTCTCAGTATCTGTTTTAACCCTCCCCGCCACCACACGCACTTATCTGTCCGTTCTTCCTTCTCGCTCATGGTTTCTCTCTCAGAGGCGGGTTTGGGCCTCGGGGACGTAAATTTCGATGCTGTCCGCGCTCTCCGTGGCCGAGTTCTGGCGAAAGGAGGCGGCCTTCTTCGCAGCCAGCAGGCGCTTGCGAGCCTCTTGTCTCTGCTTTTCTGATGAGGCCGATGAAGAGGTGGATGAGTCGGCACTCTTCTCCCGGCCGAGCGTCGGTCGTCCCTTACCAGGTTTCTTTGACGCCGGAGCAGTCGCCTTCTCCTCGCTTGGCTGAGGAGTGGATACGTGGGAAACATGGAGGGAGGGCAGAGATAAAGGAAAGATATCAATGAGTAAACTGGGTCCATACATCTTTTTTTGTCCATTTGTCATTTTATTTTTTGGCTAGATTGGTTCTTTTTGGTGTGTAAATTTTTTTACATGATTTGTTTTCTTCGAGTCTTTCATACGCCTTTTAAACTAATATAAACATTTTTTCTGTCACAGARTCCCAATCAAATTGCAGTATTTGAATAAATTAACTGATATTAGATTTATGTTTTCTACTCCTTTGTGATAAAATCTGCGGCACCCATCTGGTGACATTGGATAAAAAAATATTGTGTGGCCACGAGATAATAACGAGTGGCCATGAGATGAGTTAATGCAGTCATTTCCATGCAATTATATGTTGTAGCTACAAGGCACTGGTGATGACTGGAGTTAAGCTCAACACTCAGGCTCCTCTCTCACCTCGTGCATTTGCTGCAGAAGGAGTCAGAGTTATGTTACGTTCAGGAACACAGTAAAAGAAATCTGTTTCCCGACACACATGGCGTTCAGTGTCATCTCATAAATACCAGTACAATGAAAAATGAACTGTTTTTATTGAACCATGGAGGTATGTTATTTGGATTAAACATACATAAAAAARGAATAAATAAAAATAATAATAATGTGTCGGGTACTTTTGAACAGCTGAACACAAAAACAACACATTCATATAAAATCTGACTCCAACAATGTCTGCATCTCTCACAAAGAGACACGACAGCTCAAAAATGATCTTGTGGCCACGCAAAAACTAATGCATGGCCACGAGTTATTTCATGGCCACAAACGATTATTTTTTTCATCTAGTGTCACCAGACAGTCTCTGRATATATTCCTTCAAAATTTCATGTTTTAATGTTTTCAATTACAGTGGGGTGTGAACGTTTGGGCAGCCTTGTTAATTTTCCTGATTTACCTTTATAAATCATTGATTGTTTGGATAAAAAAAATCAGTTAAATATCATACAGGGGACAAACACAGTGATATTTGAAAAGTGAAATGAAGTTTATATGATTTACAGAAAGTGTGCAATAATTGGTTTAACAAAATTGGGCAGGTGCATAAATTTGGGCACCAAAAAAATAACCTTAACTCAATATTTAGTAGCTCCTCCTTTCACAGAAATAACAGCCTGTAAACACTTCCTACAGCTTCTAATGAGAGTCTGGATTGTAGCTGAAGGTATTTTAGACCATTCTTCTTTACAAAACATCTCTAGTTCATTCAGGTTTGATGGTTTCTGAGAATGGACAGCTCTCTTTTAAGTGACATCACAGATTTTCAATAATATTCAGATCTGAGGACTGAGATGGCCATTCCAGAACGTTCTACCTTTTCCTCTGCATGAATGTCTTAGTAGATTCTGAGCAGTGTTTAGGGTGGTTGTCTTGTTGGAAGATCCAGCCCCGGCTTCAGCAGCTTCAGCTTTGTCACTGATTCCTGGACATTGGTCTCCAGAATCTGCTGATATTGGTTGGAATCCATGCGTCCCTCAACTTTAACAAGATTCCCAGTTCCTGTACTGGCCACAAAGCCCCACAGCATGATGGAACCACCACCAAATGTTACTGCAGGTGTTTTTCTAGGAGTACTGTGTTCTTTTTCCTCCATGCATAACGGCCCTTGTTCTGCCCGAATAACTATTTTAGTTTCATCAGTCCACAGCACCTTATTCCAAAATGAAGCTGGCTTGTCCAAATGTGCTTTAGCATACCTCAAGCAGCTCTGTTTGTGATGTGGGCGGAGAAAAGGCCTCCTCTGCATCACTCTCCCATACAGCATCTCCTTGTGTAAAGTGTGCTGAATACTTGAACGATGCACAGTGACTCCATCAGCAGCAAGATGATGTTGTAGGTGTTTGGTGCTGGTCTGTGGGTTGACTCTGACTGTTCTCAACATGCTTCGCTTCTGTTTATTGGAGATTTGTCTTGGTGTTTCTCACAGTGGAGACTGAAAGCTGAAATCTGTGAGATAGCTTTCTGTATCCTTCCCCTAAACCATGATGGAGAACAATCTTTGTTTTCAGRTCATTTGAAAGTTGTTTTGAGACTCCCATGCTGCAACTCTTCAGAGAAGATGCAAAGAGGAGAAAAACTTACATTTGCCCCCCTAAAAAACCCTCTCATAATTGGAGTCACCTGTTTATGGAGGTCAAGGGTCACTGAACTTACCAAAGTAAATTTAAGTTCCAATAATTAGTTCTAAAGGTTTTGAAATCAATAAAATGAAAACAGTGCCCAAATTTATYCACCTGCCTAATTTTGTTTAACCAGTTATTGCACACTTTATGTAAATCTTATAAACTTCATTTGTCCCCTATGATATATTTAACTGATTTTTTTATCTAAACAATCAATGATGTATAAAGGTAAATCAGGAAAATTAACAAGGCTGCCCAAACTTTCGCACCCCACTGCAGGTGAAGAAATTTTTCATGCGCTGTAAATCTGTTGGCTGTTGAAGGTTGATAAATATTTGTTATGCAAGGCAAGGAATGAAGTTACTGTTATTTGTAAAAAAAAATAAAAATAAAAATACTAAAATATATTAACGCATCATATTTGCATCACCATTAATAAATTGAGAATTTTCGTGCCCTAGGGGAACAGGTGCATCTCAGTATTTATAAATGACCAAAAACTGATCAGAATTAGTGCTGCTGACCTTTTTCATGCTTCCAGACTGAGACAATACCTCCTCATTCCCGCCCAAAATAAATCAGATTTGCATACACAGGAGCATACATGGCTTGGTTTCCTGCTTGACTAAACCCATCAATAAAATTGACATTTACTGGGTGAAAATGCAGAAAAAAATATGAATATTTGTTCATGTGGTTAAATGTAATTTTGTTAATGCATCCATAAAAGATGGAAAAATGTCAATACATAATATTTCAATGACAATCTTTAAAAGAGAATATCTTTGTTTCCTAGGGGCAAAAGTGAAGCAATTTATTCAAATCAGTTTTGCACAAATATAAAATAAATGATCAGAATTAGAGTTTCAGTCAGTTTTTGAAACTACCAGGCCTGTATGACCCCTCTAGAATCAAAGGAAAAAAAAGTCAATAAAAATAAATCCATGACAGTCTTCCAAAGCGTATTTTTTTGGGTCTAAAGGACAGAGGTGGAYCATAAAATCCAGGGCTAAATTATCTGTTTACAGCTTAAACAAGACAGGAACATTTAAAGATAGTTAGTCAAATTTGATTTTGCTCCCTAATCGTTTGATTCAACACTGAGAAACTTCGACAAACAGAAGACATACAATACAAGCAAGTGTTAACGGGATAAAACAAAAACACATTGAGAAGAACATTCATTTCAAGGACAGATTTCAAACAGTTGAAATGGTGACATGAATCGATGAGTACATGGATTCGACGTATCGTGACGAGGATAACATGGCAGCCAAAATATTCAGACTGGAGGACTGGAGCAACACACTCAGCTGTGCAAAACCCCCCGTCTGTTTTTGGGTGAAAACAACCACTCCACTTTGAGTAATAAGTAATGCAACTCCTGACATGATTACTAAGGAAATGTTGAAGAAAAAATAAGATGTCTGTTGTTCAACAATCTCCAGTGCTTGAATAAAAATACTTTAATAAATATGGATTGGAGAAAAATGAAGATGGCAGCGTTTGTGGGTGAAAACAGTGAATTGTGTTTACAGACAGTAAGTTTTTTTTTTTACTTAATGCAATACAAAAATAGATTTCAAATAATTTGTAAATGTAACATTTAGATTTTATGATTCAAGGCAACAAAATCAGCAAATTAAAAAAGGTAAAAAAAATAATAAGMCTTGTTCTGTMGCATACTGCAGTGTTTCACRTCCCATTAWTGGGCAACAACACCCCCTCCCTCCACAACAACTTATTTTGTACTGGGAGTTCAGCAGCTGCAGCAGTGTTTCAATCTGCAGATGGTTAAAACAACATAATCATTTGTAAAACAAACAGATGACTTCCACATAACTGAGATTYCGTTTTTAAATGAAGTGATGACATACACGGTCCTGAGGCCACAAATCGTCCCAACAAAAATGCAATTTAGCGTTTTTTTTATCATTGGCGTTAAAGCAGGAACTTCAACGCACGACAAGAAATTATGCCCATACAAAGTTTGTTTTCACCCAAAAACGGTGGACGCTTGAAGAAAAATCAAGTGATGTGACATTGCTCCACTCCACAAGTAACAGAAAGCAACAACAAATCAGCTGCAGGTGAAAAAGATATATTTTGTTTAAAGTTTCAGATAAGAGACAACAAAGAACCGGATGTTAATGAGCAAAACAGACAGAAAAGCTACACAAACATGTGAAAAAGAGCAAAAGCAAGACTGCATTCTGTCACATGAGCCAGTGCATCTTAGCCATGCTCCGCTAGAACACACACACAGACACACACACACACACACAAACACACACAGAGGACAATGCATGCTCAAAGTAGGGCTTTACACTTCAACACAAACACTAGTGTCAGCCCACTTTGAGATGATTTTTCCCCATGCATGCCGAGAGGGAGCTCTTTGACCCCTCTATGTTAGCCAGGGAAGCCTTGTTAGAGTTCATCCCACTTTGGGATGTTTAAAAAAAACAACAACAAAAATAAAAAAAAAAGAGCGGGAGAAATGATGGTGGTGGTGGGAGGAGAGAGGCCGGTTACGGCGGCTTTCCTACCCCAGCCAGGGCACTGGGCAGCATAGGTGGGAAGTACCTTCCGCTCGGGGGTCGACTGGGCAGCGGCGGATGGCGTGGACTGCCAGTCGTTGGACTTGAGGTGGTAGAGCTCGTCAAACTTGAGGCTAATGTCTTCAATGGAGAGCTGCAGCAGGTCCCAAAAGCCAGCTAGGTCCTGGGCTGTGGGCCGCGGGTTGGCAGTCACATTCTGACCAGAGTAAACAGGAAAGAGCAGAAAATACAGAATGAGGGCTAAGGAGCTGCTTTCAGATCCAGGCCTCCCTTGTGTAATAACAAATAATTTTAGGTCTAAATGAAAACATGGTGATTATTAATGCCGGTATCAATACTGAGCCTGATACAAGCATTTGAACAAGTACTCGCACTTAAGCGTCCAGACTGTCACTTTGAAAAACATCATGAATCTAATTTAGTACCAGGGTCTAAAAACAATGTATTTCTGTAATGGTGGGAAAAACTAGTATCAGAACACTCTTCATATATAATGCTCATCTTGGTGCAGCATCATATTTACAGACTTATTGTGACTCTTCTTTATCCTCACCACAAGGGGYAGCTGTATGACGATTCACTAATCGAGCTGAACCTCAAACTAAAGCAGAAAATACTGTATAATGAAAGCACTTTTGAATGTTTTCATGCTACAACTCTGCTTGATTAGCACAAAGTCAAAAAAAGTCAATAATCACCTACGATCTACTGTTCAAACAATTCATAACACTTCACTGTTATGTACACACAGAATCCTGCAGAGAAAGCCATGATCTGATCAAATTGTGTGACATTTATCGCCAACATATCATGTGCTGGTTGTTTGCTATATTTTATATAATGCAATTTTCTCTAAAACTCGTAATCTGAGAAGAAGAGCTTATTGGCTTTTTATAAGCTGCTCTTATTTTGTGCTGGTAAATCATCATGAAGGATTCTGTGGATGTGCTGCACGTCATTTCTGGTAACAGATTAGTTGGCTTTCATGTGCATGAAAGCCTTTTATGATCACAAAGCCAAGCAGCTCTAGCCAAAAACAAAGCAAACCTCAAACCATAATAGCAGTTTTTGTTTGCTACCATCTGAGCATCTGAGTTTCATGAATGTTAAGTCTGAGCCGTAGAAGAGAGAGGTACAGAATACACACCAAGTTTTGTTCACACAGGCCTCGGAACTGCTGGAACTTCTGAGACATCAGGAGCTGAGCGCTTCCCACTGCGCTGCGAACTTTCCCCAGCACTACAGTGAGAGGGAATATATATATATATAAAAAGGTTTAACACTTATTTCTTTTTTAGACGCATGATCAAACCAACAACGTGGCCGAGCCCCTGATACACCAAGACCCTCCGTGCAACTCTGGTGGCAGAAAGGCATTTAAAGTGTTTTGCACAATGTGATCCTCTCTACAGAAATGTAAGCGTATACGGATCTTTCGGTCTTCAGAATGCGACTTGTTACAAACGAGTCTGTGTCAGAGTTGGGATGATACGGTGAGGCAAGACCCRACGTCTGCAGGTTTGCATCAAAGTCGACAGGAAGAACAAAACGTCTGACAGTACGAGCGCAGACGCACGGGGCCTTTTGTCCACATAACGATCAGACGCTTCTGATAAACACCGAGCCTCAGAAGCCGTCGTGCAGTTTGCATGTACTTTGCTTATTTGCATGTGTGCTGCACGTCTCAGGCTGATGTTAAAGCACTAATCTAATCTGGCGGTTTAATCAGTTCCAGACTAGATTTGTGTAATTCTGGAGATTACAGGGCAGCTTGTGTGCGGTAACCCCAGATATTCTAGTCTCGCCCCTCCCATGCTGGGTCTGTCTATCAGGCTGATTGTTGGGACTAATGAAAAGCAGGCGACTGCAATCTGCACGAGCTAAGGTCACACAGCCACCAACACACAGGGTCATCATTTAGAATTCACTCAACACAGCAGATTTAAAAACAAAAACAAAAACAGGGCAGGCAGTGGACAATTTACAAAGCTGATTTGTTTGTTTGTGGCTCATAAAAAGACCATAAGAGCTACTAGATTTTGGAAAAGAAAAATATGTATCAAAGTGTGCTAAAACCATAATGTTGGGTTGAAGTTAGTGTTCCCACCCCGCAGCCCATCCCAGCTGCCACTGATGAAGATGACCAGAGGAAGCGGTGGTCCTTACCCTCTTCTGAGAGCTGGTTGTCTTTGGCTTCCTGCTCCATCTGCTGACACCAGCCTTCCATGCGTCCCGTCTCGGCCTGCAGCAGCTTCAGGAACCAGTGGCCGTCTCTCCGGCACAGCGTGCCCGCTCCCCCTCCCCCTCCKTGGGAGACGCCGCTGCCGCTCCCGTTCCCACTGTCCAGCCAGGGGTCCGGGGGCGGCAGAGACGAGGGGTCCAGTGCCGGGTCCAGGCTCTCGGAGAAAGAGGAGGAGCTACTCCGCGTGGTGGAGCGGTTGAGGATCTGCCTGGGTAGGGGCGGGGACGAGGTGTCGCCGGCGGGGTCGCCGTTGTCTAAAGAGTCTTGTCTGGGGGGGGGACTCGTGGACTGACTGGCACTGTTCACCATGACTTTCTTCTCAAAGGGTTTGGAGTTGTTGGTGTGGGAAACGATGGAGATGTCTGAGTCTGTGTCTTGTTTGGAGGCCATGCTGCTAGAGCGACTAGGCCTGAAACAAAATCAGGTGACATGCATTATTACAGATAAGCATCGTCTGCAAAACAACAGTTTTATATCCACAGCATGGACTAAATA